GGAGCACCTCTCTGTGTAGTGGGTTGACCCTGGCCAGATACCAGGTACCCACTAAAATTTGTTACTAACAGGATAAGAGCCAAAGAATGAGAAATAAAATAGTCTTAAAAACACCTTATCCTCACCATTCCTTCCTTCCATGTTCTCCCTCCTCCCCCCCAGCTGTGCAGGGGGACGGGAATGAGGGTTACAGTCAGTTGTTGTTTCTGCCGCTGCTCAGGGAGAGGAGTTGGAGTCCTTCCCCTGCTCCCGTGGGGTCCCTCCCACAGGAGAGAGTCCTTGATGGACCTCTCCAACGTGAGTCCATCCCTTGGGCAGCAGCTCTTCCCAACCTGCTGTCCCGTGGGTCACTCCTCCATGGGGTCAGTCCCTCACGGATGAGCTGTACAGGCGTGGGTCCCCCACAGGGGCCATGAGTCCTCCCTGGGAAAAACCTGCTCCAGCCTGGGCTTCCCTCTCCACGGGCTGTAGGTCCCTGCCAGGACCCTGCTCCATCCTGGGCCTGCCACGGGGTCACAGCCCCCTTCCTGCATCCACCTGCTTCTGTATGGGCTTCTCCATGGGCTGCAGGGGGGTCTCTGCACCCCGATGCTCCCCCAGGGGCTGCAGGGGGGTCTCTGCACCCCGATGCTCCCCCAGGGGCTGCAGGGGCACAGCTGCCTCACCCTGCTCTGCCCCACGGGCTGCAGGGCCTCAGCTCCAGTGCCTGGAGCACCTCCTGCCCCTCCTTCTGCGCTGACCTTGGGGTCTATGTTGTTATTCCCATGTTCTCACTCCACTCTTCCCTGGCTGGAATTTTTTCTGCACAACAATCTTCTTTTCTTAAATATGTTACCCCAGAGGTGTTACTGTCACTCCTGACTGGCTCGGCCTTGGCCAGCAGCAGGAATTCCGTCCTGGAGCCGGCTGGCATTGGCTCCACGGGACAGGGGAAGCTTCTGGCAGCTTCTAACAGAAACCACCCTTGTAGCCCCCCCTGCTACCAAAACCCAGCCATAGAAACCCACTACATTGTCCTTGTCATATCCTCCTTTAAACTGCAAAATCTTACCAAGCCAGAGCATGTGTGTGGACCTTCCCCTTCTGGGTCAGCTGTTTCAGTGTTATTGTGGACTGGTGCTATGGACTTCCTTGGCTCACCTGGCAGCCTCTCCATCTTTAACTCTGGAGTTTGATTTTCACGGTGTATTTTGGATAAAGCAGAAGGAAGTGAAGGAATGTCCAGAGATCTTGAAGCCTTGTGTCATTTGCTGAGGTGCTTGTATGCCTGATTAATTATTGCCTAATTATAAACCCTCAGGGTCATACTTTTCACCAGCGAGAAGAAAATGTTACATAGACTGCCAAGAAATATCAGATTTTCCATCCCAGCTGTTTTCTGATTAAATGGCTGCACCATGAATTTAAGAGAGTTGTTCAGCTGCACTTGGGGATGGTTTGCCATTTGTTCATCCCTCTAATGTCATGCCAGACAGAACCTCAACTTCTCCTCTCTCTCTCACCAGAGGATTTTTGGTACCTAGCAGCAGTGGATAGGTATGGCTGAAGTGACACATTTGGTTTTCCCTTTTTTCATCTCAGAATGTTGCTGTGCCCACTGCAGGGGAAGGGGACAGAAGTACAGTAATGTTCACACTGTGTAGCAAGGCAAAGGAATGGGAGAATTCCTTTTTTTTCTTTTTTTATTTTCTATTTAAAAATAGAACAAAACTGTTGAGAAAACTTTGGAAAGGGTTTAAATGGCTAAACTAGGCTGTAGTTCTCCTTAATCTCATGGGTCTTTCCAAAACCGAAGAAACTCTATTTGAGTAGCTAAGCTTCCATGAGCAACAAATTTAACACAGCGACTGATGGAGAACTTGCAGGTCCCTAACAAAGCACAAAGCAAAGACAGAAAGGATGGTAGGAAGACACTGATTTGTGCAAGTTAAATAATCATGAGTCTATTGCAAGAAAGGAGCACATTAAAGTGGGGTTGTTAATATATCAACAGCACAGTCACTTAATTTTACTGCTGTTTTGGCATTAGTCTCTGGCAGAGAATTATCTCTAAACATGAGAGATATCTATCACAAAAAAAAAAAAAATATGGACTAACTGGTGTCCT